TGATCTTGTGTGTAATTGTTGCATCATCACGCATTCATGTACCCATGAGCATTCTTTAAACAATTTTTCAAGGAACTTAAGGTTGATTTTTTCAAATATCTCAGGTACTCTTTTGACCATGGATTTTGGAAGGAGAAAAACTTGGAAGTACAGTTTCAAGGATCCTAAGATAGAGGAACTGATGAGTTTTATTCCTGAGATCGAGAGTCCTACGGATTTCTGGAAGAAGTATGGAGCTATTGTGCCTCTTATGAAGCTCAAGATGAAGGAGGGTATTCTTTCTACATTGGTCCAGTTCTTTGACTCGTTATACCAGTGTTTTACTTTTCCTGATTATCAATTGATGCCCATATTAGAAGAGTATTCTTACTTACTTGGTTTCCTTATTACTGATTGTGTTCCTTTCACCGACTTAGAAGGATATCCTAAGTCTCATGAGATTGCTACCATAACTCACTTGAGGAAGTCTGAGATTGAGGCTAACATGACTACCAAAGGAGGAATCAGGGCTTTACTTGCTCAGTTTCTATTCGAGAAAGCTCGTTATTCCGCCAAGATGAAGAGTACAACTGCTTTTGAGGATATCTTTGCTTTGCTTGCATACGGGTTGTTCTTGTTTCCTAACATCGACAAATTTGTGGATATTAATGCCATTGGGATCTTTTTGATTGGGAATCTAGTCCCTATGCTGATAGGAGATACTTATTATTCCATCCATCTTCGGAATTTCTATCAGGAAGGGATGATCATTTGTTGTACACCATTGTTATATCAGTGGTTTATTTCTCACTTACCTCGGTCTGTTGCCTTTTGGGATATCAAGAAGGAGCACCGTTGGGCACCAAAGTTTATGGCTTTCACTCATTCTAACATTAATTGGTATCATCAAGTTTATTATGATGTGGAGATCATTGACAGTTGTGGTAGTTTCCTTGATGTACCTCTTCTTGGTATAAAAGGAGGAATTAACTACAATCTTGTTCTTGCACGCCACTAACTTGAATATCTGAGAGATAGGTCAAACAACGTTCATTTGAGTGGTTTCTTTCTCAAAGAAGGAGAAGATCATAAGGCAGCTAGAGAAGAGATTGAAAAGGCTTGGCGCCATGTTCATAGGAAGGATATAAAAGATTTAGGACCAAGATGATCTGTTTCTTTAGAACTTCATCTCTGTTGGGTACAAGCAAGGGAAATTCAGTTGAAGATGCCTTATTTTCGTGAGGAACCTTTAGCTGACATGTTTATGAGGACTCCTCCTCCTCCCTTAGATGTTGTGGAAGAATTCCAACTTGCCTTAGTTAGTATGCAACAAGAGAAGGAAGTACAGAAGAATAACTATCAGACTTTGGAGGTGTCCTAATCAACAGAATTGAAAGAGAGGGATGACTTGATTGAGATTCTTGAGAGTCGTGTTGTGGAGATGATGGAGAAGCAAGAGGATTTATTTCCGTCTAGTGTTCAACCAGGTCCCGGTCACTCATTTTCTGATTCTGGTATATGGAAAGAAGTCACCGACAAGTATGCAGAAGAGAATAAATAATTGAAGGCTCTGATTGCAAGACTCAAGGGAAAACGTCAGTGTGTGGAGAGATCTTCATCAACTTTGACTCCTTAGGATTTTCAAGTTCTATCTTTATTCTCTTGTACTTAGGATTATTGAAACTTGTACTAAAAGTTATAATCCATTCCAGAGTTATTATTAAAATGAGATTTTTCAGTATTTCCAAATGAGTTAGTTCCTCAATATTTGCAGTTGTTTATAATTCTTTGAGTTCCTTGAATAAACACAATAAATTGTATGCATTGCATAGCATGCATCATTTTGCACATATTTTTTGCATTCCTATATTTCACAGGTGTCTTACTTGTTTCTTTGCTTTGTTCAGTCGGCAAGTTGTCTCATTGTTACAATACTCGGGCTAATTCTAGAAAGAAGATGGAAAACATCGAACAAGAGAATCGCGAGCTACGCGAAGAAGTTACTACTTTGAAGGCTGGTATGGATAGTCTAACTGCTTTGGTATAATCATTGGTGGCTGCTCAAAATCAGCCACCACCTCTTCCTCCTCCATCTCCTCATGCTACTCAACCACAACAGGCGACCATTATTTTAGAGGTTCTGTCAGTTCCCATCTCTGTTACTCCAATCACTGCTACTCAATATTGTATGCCTCGCTATTACCCCAGGGAATGCCTGAGAATTTCATGTCAGAAGGTTACAATCGTGTTGCTCAAGTTGCTCCATTTGTTCAAACTATTGCTGCTTCTACGCCTCTTGTGGTGCATGTTGTCCCTGTTGCTAATAATGAGATTCATCATGATGCACATCCTGCAGTGAATGTTATGCATGTTATTAACGATGAAGTTTATCATCCTGCTCCTCCACCAAGTGAAAGTTTGGGCTTTTATGACCGAATGGGTGATTTTCAGGATCAATTCAATGAAATTCAAAAAGAAGTGAAGGCTCTCCGAGGAAAAGAGTTATTCGGACAAAATGTTAGTGACATCTGTATGGTTCCTAATGTTAAAGTGCCAGCAAAGTTTAAAGTACCAGAATTTGAGAAGTACAAGAGCAAATCTTGTCCCCGTGACCACCTGGTGATGTATATCAGTAGGATGTCCACTCATACCGATGACCAACGTTTGTTTATTCATTTCTTCCAGGAAAGTTTAACTGGTGCTGCTTTGAAATGGTATATGGGATTGGACAGTAACAACGTCCATACATTTAATTATTTGGGTGAAGCTTTTGTGAAGCAGTATAAGTACAACATGTTTATGGCGTATGACCGTGACCAATTGAGAGCGATGACTCAGAAAGATAAAGAATCATTTAAAGAGTATGTGCAACGTTGGCGCAAAGTTGTTGCCCAAGTAGTACCTCCGATTGGAGAGTAAGAAATGACTAAGGTATTCCTAAAAACCCTTGGTTCATTTTACTATGAAAGAATGGTTGCAAGTGCACCAAGTGATTTCACTGAGATGGTAAGTATGGGTGTCAGTCTAAAGGAAGCCGTCAGGGAAGGACGATTGTCAAAAGATGAAGGTTCTAGTGGAACAAATAAAGCATCATATGGGTTTTCTAAAAGAAAGAAAGTGAAACAAATGTTGTTGCTGAAGAAAGAAGGGTTAGGCCTCCGAGAAGACATCATCAACATCAACGACATGTTGCTTCAGTAACTCTAATCGTCAATGTAGCTCCGACTGTTGTCGCTTATCAAAGATCACCTCTTCAAAGTAATCAAGGGCAAGGTCAGAAGAGAGAGACTTTTGATCTTATCTCAATGAGTTATGCATAATTGTTTCCGACTTTGATTCAGAAGAACCTGAGCAAACTAGGCCTCCTCCTAGTATACCTTCAACTTTGCCATGGTATTATAAAACTGATCAGACTTTTTCTTTTCATCAAGGAGCCCCTGGAACAACATTGAAAATTGTTATCCATTGAAGTCTGAAGTGCAGAAGATGGTAAGATCTGGTCTCCTGACTTTTAAAGACATTGGTCCCAACGTGAAAGATAATCCACTACTCAAGCATGGAGGTGGAGGTGCTGTAAATATGGCCGCTGGTTGTTCTGGAGATTTCAGAATTTTTTACATCAATCTAGTTAGAGGTGATTTAGTGAAGATGCATGCTGATCTATGTGAATTCAGCTATTATACATATGACCATGTTGCTTGTAGTGTCTGCAGTATGGGTGTTGATGGATGTGATAAAGTGAGAGCTGATCTCCAAAAAATGATAGAGAAATGTCTTATCTACATAATCAGACCAATGACTAAATATGAAGAAGAGGTAAACATGATTTATGATGCTGCATAAATAATTAAAATAATTATAATAAATAATTTATTCAATTTTTAAAATTTTAAACTATTAAAAATTGTTAAAATTATATTATCATAAAATAACTAATTTATGTATACTTAAATAAAGAGAAAAATTATTTTTAGAAAAATTAAAAAATTAAAAAAAATATTCATTAAACAATTGTTCTATGATTTACTTGTCACATCAATATTGAAAATAAATTTACCAAACAAGTATTTTTAATTTATCATTTCAAAAGAGTTTTTAAACTAAATATTATCAAATAAGTTTTCTCTTTTTCTTTTCTTATAACTAGTATTTAACAATTGATTTGTAAAAAGGTATTTAAAAATACAAAACCAAAATAAAAAAATTAATAGTTGTTATATATTTTTGTTTACGGTAGTGAACAAGAAAACAGTTTGGTTCACATGGTAAAATTGCAAAATGGATCGTCTCCTGTTTTCTCTCTTTAGCTTTCAATGTTGTCTCAAATTTAATGGTCAATATGAAATAATAGAATAATAATTCAGCAGATATATAGATATAAAATATAATCTAAAGGATAAAATTAATGTTGAACAGAAACAGCAGAGAAGAAGCTGCACACAATCCAGATTCGTAAAATTGTTACAGGCCTATTGCTTACGGGTAAATGGATCTTGATATAAAAAATGCAATCTTGACACTAATGTGTTACACTTACACTCAAAACACCGTTCACAAATATGTAAATATGTGAACAGTGTTTTTATTATTTTTTAATTTTTTAATATGTTTTTTTATTTTTTTAAAATTATTTTGATTAATGAAATATTAAATTTTTGCGATGAAAGAGTAATTAATTTTTCTAATATTAACTTCCTAATTTTTCATCCCGGGTGACTCGCACTAATTCAAACCAAAGCCATTAAAACTTTCCATTTATTTGTGGGCGATCACTAAACATCTTCCATATATTAAACTTTGGCTAATTAAGTAATGATTCATTTCTAAATACAATATCCTCCTCTCATTTTCCTAAATTCTCTCAAACACATTAAATATTTTTTCATTATAAATATTCATCACAATCAAATTCATTTTTCATTCTTATAATAATTCATTGTTCATTCTTATAATAACAACAGTTTTTCTTCAAAGAAAAACTGTCTTTATTTTAAGAATTAACAAAATAAAAACTTAAAAAAATGGCCCGTCAACTATTTGTTATAGTCCTCATTTTTGTAGCCATGATTGGTATGGTTATGGCTCAAGTAGCCCCATCTACATCACCTGAATCATCACCGAAAGCAGCAGCACCATCATCAAAAGCACGAAAAGCAGTCGCAGCAGCACCAACAACAGCACCAGTATCTTCTCCAAAAGCTTCACCTTTAGCTCCATCATTAGCACCTTCAACTTCTAACGAAGAACAAGATATTTCAGCTCCTCCAGCACAAGCCAGTGGCCCCATTGAGCTGTTTGCTCCTGGACCCGCCCCTGTTAGTGATGACTTTGCTTCCGGGGCCGGCCCAGCAGCTGACGAGGCTACCAGCGGTGCCTCGGCTATTCAATTCTCTGTTGCTGCTGCCACCGTCGCCGTTGTCAGCTTCTTTGCCTTCTAATTGAGATAGCTATGCTTATAGTTGAATTTGCTATTTTTGAGGAGTTATCTTGAGATTTGTTTGTGTAGCAACTCAACGTTATATAACACTATGTGTTTTGTGAGTGTATGATTCAATATTACTGATGATTAGGTTAAATCAGAAATATAATGAGGAAAAGGTTGCAATAGCCATTTTTCTCCACCATATTAATATTACTTCATTCATGAATTAACTTCAATATACTTCATTCACATCTTTATAAGATGTGATTTAAGATTATAACCAAAATTTATTGATTATTAATATAGTATTATAATACAATAATCATATCAATTAACAATGTAAAGGAAGAAAGACAATTTTAGGTAGGTGGATCAAACTATGAATAAGATCCTATAATGGAAAGAAAAAAATCATGATGCTTAACTTACTTATTAGTATAATTATATATATAAAAGGAGTAATTGAAAGTTGTTTGAGTCATATCTCCAGCAATGTAATAGGTTGGTTTGAAATAATTTATAAAAAAAAAAACAGAAAACATAGACTAATAAAAGATGTAAAATAGTTTTAAACTATCAATGAATCGTGGCTGTTAAATATTTATTAAAATTTAATTTTAATTTTAATTATTTATAAAATAATATTTATGAATGATTATGATATAATGACCGTGTAAAGAATTTTATACTGACGCTGCATAGTAATTAATCTTTTAATTTAATTTAATTTTTGTAATTTTTACTTAAAACATAGATTGGTTTAGTTTGATTCAACAAAATTGAAAATTTTAAAATAAAATATAAATTAGTTTTAGCAAATTTAAATATTTATCTTTTTTTTAAATTACGGATTTTTCATATTATTAATACAAGTAAAGAGAAAAAATTTAAAAATATAATAACTACAAAATATACGACCATAACATATATTTTTTAAGATAACAATATTGTTATAGTTTGAAATAAAAGAGATATTACTATAATATTATATTTTTGGAATTAATAAAATTAATATTTTTTTAATCAAAATAAAACATATAAAAAAAGAAAAATATAGAGAACTAAACTCTTGAGAATTACATTCCCACAACATTTATTTATAGTTACACAAATTGTTAATATTTAAAAAATTAACAATTTGAAGAAAAAAAACAATTATATCCGCTATTTGGACTTGTTTGATGATCCAATTTATGGAAACAATGACCCATTGACCTTGACATATTAGATAATATATCATCACATTAGAGTTGATGCCATTAGGATGGAGAATGTTCAGTGTTTTATTATTGATAATGTGAGTGAAATTTTTGGACATTTCATCAAACATCTACTGTACAAGTTTCTTTTGAAGAATTACTGATGGTTCCAAAGGTTAAAGGGAAAGATGTAGTAAGGATAAGAGTAAGGTTGGTGAATTTTCAAATGCTTCGGAAAATGTGTTTTCGTTGGTTGATGAAGAGATTTTGAAATTCTTTAAAGACAAGTGTCAAAATAGAATCGTGGTCGAACAACACTACTACAAAGTTAGAACAGTTAAAGACTTTTATATTTCAGAAGTTGTTAATCGTATGAATCAATAAGGCATCAACGATTTCTTGGAGTTGGCTCAAGACTACAATGAAAACTTGACTCGCGTGTTATATGCTGGTCTACACGAGCGTTGGGGGATCCGAATTCAGTTTTCAAATGAGAGGAAAAGTATATAAATTTACAAATGCTATGTGGTAATCTTTATTCGATATCACCATAGGATATGAGTCCGTGGTAAACGATACAAATGCCCACTCATAATTAAAGTGAAAAATACATCTCAATGAACAGCTAAAGGTACCACGAGGTGATGAAGACTATGAAAAAGTATCCACATGACATTTGAAACAAGTGTCTCGCATATTACATTGGATTATTTCTTGTAACACCCTTCTAACCTCACATACATTATTCATATAATTTACGAAATAATTCAAATAAATATCACCACTCAAGGGTATCACACTTCATAGAAAATATCATAACAATAGTCTTGCTCTGTAACACGAGTTACATCAATTTAAAACATACATCTGTTTATAATTCATCACTTTAGTTAGAGACATCGCAGCGGAAATTCATCGTCATATATGTTGGAAATCCACCAAAGTCTATGATGAATTTCTACCATAATGACAATTTAATTATGAGACAAACAAAGAAAGAAGACAAGACAAATAATTTCTGCAGAGTTTCTCTCTACTCACAAACTGTGAAAACTTTCTAATTCACTTTGCAACTGCAAAATACTGTGAATGACTTGCTTGCCTTGCTTACAAAAAATAGGGGTTACTCCCTCTATTTATAACTGAGCTTACACCCTAAGCTCAAAGCCCAAAATATCTATTTTGTTACTAAATCAAATCTAATATATTCTAGACTTAAATCAAATCTATTTAAATCTAAAACAAATCAAATATTTTCGACACATAGTTTTGACACACTGAATTACAATTTAACACACCACCTAATTCATTGTGTCTAAACTATCTATGTTCATCATGGCTCTTAGTCTTCTAAATACTTTGACTTGCACCCCCTTCGTCATGATATCTGCAATCTGATTCTCAGTTCTACAGTGTTCCAAATTCATCTTCCCATCTGCTACCTGCTCTCGAAGATAATGGAACCTCATTTCGATGTGCTTACTTCGACCATGTGCTATTGGTTCTTCACCATATTGATAGCTAACATGTTGTCGATCTTCATGGTAATTGATCCATGATCTTTCCTTGTTATCTCTTCGACCAAGTTCACCATCAAAGTTGCTTGACATGCACAAAGAGAAGCAGCTATATATTCTGCTTCGCATGATGATAATACGGCTATTGGTTCCTTTCTTAAGTTTCAAGCAACTGGTGCACCACCTAGCATAAACACATATCTTGTTGTTGACTTTCGATCTTTAGCATCACTACACCAACTCGAATCAGTGTATCCCACTAACTTGCATTCTTTTCCTTTATCAGCTACAGGAAACAAAATGCCATAATCAAAAGTTCCTTTGAGATACCATAGTATCCTCTTCATTGCTGCTAGATGTGATACCTTTGGCTTCTTCATGAATCTACTTACCATACCTACACTATATGCTAAGTCAGGCCTTGTATGACAAAGGTATCTCAATGATCAATAAGTCTTCTGTATTGGATTGGATCAACATCATTTTCATCTGCATCTTTCGATAGTTGCAGTCTTGGTTCTGCAGGTGTCAAAGTTGGGTCGCATTCTTCCATCTCAAATCTCTTGAGAATTTATCATGCATATCTTCTTTGATGCATCCTCAAATTTCTACTGCTCTTGTAGAATTCGATGCCAAGTAAATATGAAATCTCACTCAAATCAAACATTTCGAATTCCTTGCTGAGATCACCTTTGAAGTCTTCGATCTAACTCTTACAGGTACATGTTATCAACAAATCATCTACATAGAGACATAGTATAAGCAATTTACTCTTGCTTCTTCTTACATATACTCCATGTTCAGTTGTGCACTTCACAAATTCCTTCTCCCTTAGAAAACTATCAATTTTCTTATTCCAAACCCTTGGATCTTGTTTCAATCCATACAAGGCTTTATGCAGCCTGTACACCTTTCTTTATTCGTCATATTTCACAAACCCAACTGGTTGTTTAACATAGACTTCTTCGTCTAAGGGTCCATTTAGGAATGCACACTTCACGTCCATCTGACATATGTGCCAACTGTTTATTTCTGCTAGACCAACAACCAACCTGATTGTTTCGGTCCTAGCAACAGGTGCAAAAACTTCATCGAAGTCTATTCCTTCTTTCTGTATAAATCCTTTCGCCACAAGCCTTGCTTTGTGTCGAGTTACTTCCCCTTTCGAATTTGTTTTCACTTTGTATATCCACTTGACATCAATTGCCTTCTTGCCTTGAGGCAATTCGACAAGTGACCAAGTATTGTTGTCTTTGATAGACTTCACTTCTTCGTTCATTGCTTTCACCCACTTCGAATCCTTCAATGCTTCAGCTACATTAACATGTTCGATATCTGCATAGAAAGGATAATGTACCAGCTCACCTTCACCATCTATCACATCATCTGATGTAATCACACAATCTTGCAATCTCGCAGGCATGTGTCTTGTTCTTTGAGGTCTGCTTGTACTTGGTATATCTACTGGTTCCTCTTGTCGAACTTCTCTTTTGACTTGAGTTTTTGGTTCTTCGAATAGGATTCCCACTGAATCTTTCTTGACATTTTCAGTCCAATCTCATTCTTTAAACTCATCTATGATCACGTCCCTGGTGATCACAATCTTCTTGTTCTCTGGATCGAACAACTTGTAACCTCCTGTCGAATGATATCCAACTAGAATCATTTGACTTGACTTGTCATCAAGTTTTCTTCTCAACTGATCTGGCACATGTCTATGTGCAATAGATCCAAATACCTTCAAATGACTCAAGCTAGGCTTCACACCAGACCAACATTCTTCTGGAGTAATTCCTTCTAGATTCTTTGTAAGACATCTGTTCAAAATGTATGTTGCAGTCGAAACAGCTTCACCCCAAAACTCTTTAGGTAAATTCTTGCCTTTCAACATACTTCTCACCATATTCATGATGGTTCGATTCTTCCTTTCTGCAATTCCGTTTTGTTGCGGAGTATAGGATGGCACCACCTAATGCACAATCCCTTCCTTTTCACATAGCCTGTCGAAGTATTTCGACACATATTCTCCACCACCATCAGTTCTCAAAACTTTGAGCTCGACCACTTTGTCTTTCGACCATAGTCTTAAACTTGGCAAATACTTCTATCACTTCACTTTTCTTCTTGATTAGATAAGTCCACAACTTTCGACTGAAATCATCTATGAATGTAACAAAGTATTTGTTACCTCCCATCGAATCCACCTGGATTGGTCCATATACATCAGAGTATATAACTTCAAGACTAGCCTTCGACCTGCTTCCTGCATCCTTGCTGAAGCTATTCTTGTGTTGCTTCGC